GAGGAATGGATAACCAAACTGTGGTACATACACACAATGGAATACTATGCAATGCTAAAGAATAATGTAGAATCTGCAAAACACTGCATAACATGGATGAACTTGGAGGATGTTATGCTGAGTGAAATAAGTCGATCACAAAAGGACAAATATTGTATTAGTCAATTATTGTAAAAAGTCAAGGAAAGGTTTATACATGGAAGGAAATTTTCTTTGTTGGTTACCAGGGGTGGGAGGGGTGGGGAGGGAACACTGCAAAAATAAAAACGTAAAATAAAAATAAATGGTTGCAGCAGTATATTGACAGGGAATTTCCAGAAATGCAAGCTGAAATCAGAAGAGGACGTGGAGCGAGGGATATCATTGCTGATGTCACATGGCCCTTGGCTCAAAGCAAAGAATACCAGAAAGATGTTTGGTTGTGTTTTATTGACTACACAAAGCCATTCGACTGTGTAGATCATAAAATATTACAGATAACATTGAGAAGAAAGGCCGGAAGACTTAATTGTACTCCTGAGGAACCTGTACATAGACCAGGAGGCTGTCGTTCGAACCGAACAAGGGGACACTACATGGTTTAAAATCAAGAAGGAAGAATGTCAGGGTTGTATCTTTTCCCCACACTTACTCAATCTGTATGCTGAGTAAATAAACTGAGAAGCTGGACTATGTGAAGAAGAACGGGGCATCAGGATTGGAGGAAGACTCATTAACAACCTGCGGTGTGCAGACGACACAACCTGGCTTGCTGAGAGTGAGGATGACTTGAAGCTCGTACTGATGAAGATCAAAGACTACAGAAGGGTATCATGCTTGTTAAAGTGGAAAAGGGGAAGCCTTCAAGGAGATGCATTGACCCAGTGGCTGCAACGAAGGGCTCAGGTATAGCAAGGATCTGAGCTGGTGCAGGACCAGGCAGGGTTTCATCCCGGTCTGTTATGTATCAGGTGGCTAAGAGTCAGAGCCGACTCCAGGCACCAAACAACAACAGCCCGCCCCTTGGGGAAGGGGCTCTGCCTGCAGCTCTCTTGGCCCCTCGCCCACTACTGTAGCACCCCTGTTCACTGTCTCCTGTTGGTCCCTTCCCACTGAGATGGATGGCAGGAGAGCAGACCCAGGCCTGTCTGGTTAACCACTGGGTCCTCAGCAGCTACAGGTGACAGACTCTACAGCACGGTGGCAGTGACGTCACTAGGGGATTGCAAGTGGTGTGAAGCGGAGGAGTGACGCCAAAATGACTGTTCATAAAGTTTATGTGCAGGTTTCAGCGGGTCTCGGGCTCGGCCCCGCCCCCTCGCCACTCAGCCCACAGCCCCGGGCCCACCTCGGCAGGGAATCTATGGCCGTAGACGCTGTTCTCTGAGCACGAGCGACCCGCGGCTCCTCAAGTGCAGCTACATCTGAAGGGCCAGGTCCTCCCGAGGCTGTCTCCAGTCCAGGAGGCAGTCAGCTACACTGCAGCGGGGAGGGCGGTGAGCTGGACCCCGCCCTTCCGACCCTCTTCCTCAGGCGCTCACACCAACCCTAATGATGCCACTGCGCGGTGGTGTAAGGCGCGGGCCTAGGTTCCAATCCCACCTCTGTCCCCGAGAGCCAGGCGAGGCTTGCGACAGGTGGCTGTGGGCGTCCAGTAGGCGCTTCCGGGAAGGTTGGGAGAGGGCCCCGCCCCGCTCTCACCTGCGCGGCCCAGGCGCCCGCGGCCGGCCCTCGGCTGTGCCCGCCATGGCCGGCAGAGGGCAGCAGCGCCCTCCCTGCCCCGTCGGGCAAAGGGACGGGCGGGGAGGGGCCGGCCGGCCGGCTGGGCCCGGGACGAGTCGGGCTGCGCCATTGCACTGTGCGGAGGGAGGCAGAGGCTCCGCGAGGACAGCCCATCGCCGGCAGCTCCCCCTCGCCCGGCGGCCGCCCGCTCTCCCGCCCAGGTAGGCAGGAGCCCAGCTGCACGGGGCCAGGGGCCGCAGGGCGAAGAGTGTTGCAGGCGTGCTTGGGCCAGAAGGAAGCCTGGGGGTCGCGGGGTGGACCAGGCAGCTCAGGCCACGGCCCTGGGGCGGCCGTTCCAAGCCCTGCGATGGCACCTGGTGATGCCTGGGGGCATGTTGTCCGAGGGGGTGGTTCTAGAGCTGGGAGCCAGGTCTTCTGCCCCCAAATGGAAGCGGGCCAAGGCCGTGCCTGCCTGGGGCAGGGAGCAGGGTAAGGAGGCTTCCTGCCCGCCATGCCACCCAACCGGCTCAGCTAGGCGGCGGCAAGCCTGGATGTTGCCACCCGGCCCGGAAGCCTTTGGCAGCTGTGCACCAGGGGGGAGGCAGGGACCCAACCAGGGCACACTGTCCCCTGCATTGGCTCCACAACTCACGTCCCCAGTGCTGCTGACTTGTGCTGATGGTGCCCTGGGGCGTGGAGCAGGCAGTCAGCTGGGCCAGGCCCAGGCCCCTGACCGACGGTGCTTCCCTGGGGGACAGGTGGGTGAGGGTGGCCGGTTGATAGGTCCGAAGCTAAGGCCGGGTCTCGGTGGCCTTCTCGCCCTCCATACTGAGGGCTGTGTCCCAGACCCCTCTCTGGAGCATCTGTCCCGGCTAGCACTGCCCCCTGCCACCATGTTGTACCTGGCACGACTATGCCAGTCCCTGGGGGTGGGCTGGGGCTGGGGCGGGACATCCCAGTGGCTTGCTCTCTGGCTAGTCTTATCCTGGGTGGGGATGGGGGTGGGGAGGTCTCTGTGGGCTGTCTTTGTCACCATCTCCCCCACCCCCAGCCTGGACAGAGGCGCCCATTGAAGCCAGGATTGACATTGCAGCCAGGCACCAAGGCTACCATGGCCAAGGCTGGCATTTCGAGGGCTTGGCGCCTCTGGCCTTCCTGAAGGGGCTCTGTGGCCCATCCCGGCCCCTGGAAAGGGACAGGCGGCAGGCTGGCTTCCTGGCTGAGGGGGAGGGGCACGTCGGGTGTGCCAGGAGGTCACAGCGTCATTCCTCTGGCTGGAGGACACCCTAGTCCTTTTAGCCCCACATTCCAGCGGGTGTCTCCCTGGGGTGGGGAGTGACAGGGAGCCCCCTCCCCAGAAGACCAGATAACAGGCCCTTAGGTCTGGGAGTCGGGACAGAGAGGACATTGTTGGGGTGGAGGCAGGGCTGTCTTGGCCCCGGCCACCACTGACAAAGCTGCCAGCTGTGGCCGAGCCCAGTCGCCAGGCCCTCGGCCCCCAGCCGTCCTCCTCCCCCCGGCCCGGCGGGCATGAGGCCGGGCCTCTGTCTCCCTCCCACTCAGGGCCATACCCCCCACAGCCATCTTGTGCCCGGCACCACCGCCCTGGGGCAGCTGAACTGACAAGCTGTGCTTTCCGTGGCCCCGCACCGCCTGGGAGACTCCTTGGCTGTAGTGCTTCATGGCAGTAAGTGCTCATTCTCAAAGACGGCATAGGCTGGGGCCCAGGCCTTGAAGCCCCCCAGCGCCCCCTGGGCACAGACGCTGCGGGAGATAGCCCAGGCAAGCGGAAACACTGGGGGGACAGGGCCCAGGCCGCCCCTCTGCACAGTGCAGCTGACTGCCTCCTGGGCTAGGCCTTCCGTCTGTGTCCCTGAGATAAGAGGATGGGGCCTTCCCCAGGGTGGACAGGGACACAGACGGGGTGGCCACGGGTTGACTGGCATCCCTGCCGCCATGTGCCCACACCCCAGCTGCATGGTACCCTAGTCCAACTTCTGCCTGATTCTCTGCGGCTTTGCGTGTGGAGGGCACCCAGGGCCTGGGCCCCACTCAGGGCTGCGGGGAGGAGGGCACCCAGCAGGCCCGTAGGAGCCCCTCGGGGTCTGGGCTCCAGACTGGCTTCTTGCGGGGGTGCCTCCCCCCTCCTCCAGCTCCCTGTCTCTTCCCAGGCTCTTTCCCCTCTTCGCCCACTCCTCCTTGTCAACACTGCCACACCCAAGGCCTCTGGGACCTGCTCTTAGCCCCCACACCTCCCCCTGGGGGTCTTGGCTCTCTCCCAGCCAACACCCGCCTGGTCCTTTCCTTGCCACCGTCATGGCCAGTGTCCCACTCTCGGATGTGACCCTGTGGTGTCTCTCCTCTCTGCTGTCCCTCCTCCCCAGCAGGGTCCCCCCGTCTCTGCTGGGTGATGGTTCCTGTCCCCTTCTCTCTCACCTGGGCCATCCCAAGCCCTCGGCCTCCCTGCCTATCTCCCAGGCTGGCCCCTCCTCTGCCCGTGTTCGGCCTCCCTCCCCGCCCTGCCCTCTGTCCCTCAGAGCCCCTGTCCATGGCCTGTGACGTTTTAGGACCTGTCCCCTTGAGGTGCATGTGGAGTGGCTCTGCCCTTGTCTCTTGGTGCCCCTTTTACCCCTCTGCCTTCCTCCTTGCTCTCTGCCTGTCACCTCTGTCCTCTCTTTTCCCCTCTCCCTCCCCCTCTCTCTTCTTCCTCCCTGCCTTTTCCTCTGTCCTCTGCCCCCACCCCTCTCTGCACATCCCGGCCCTGGCTGGGTCTGGTCTCAGACCCTGCCTGTCTTGCCGCCCCACTGGGGAGTGGGGCCCTGACTGCCTCCTGCCAGGCCTCACTGCTGGCTCTCTCCCAGGCCCCCATGATGGCCCCCTGGCCTCCATTCTGTCTCCACGTCCTGCTGCTGTTGCTGCCAACACTACCCCTGACCCTGGCCCACCGATTCTCCGCACCCAACACCACCTTCAATCGCTTGGTGCTGGCGCCGGAGCCAGGCTCGCTGTATGTTGGGGCCGTGAACCGCCTCTTCCAGCTCAGCCCTGAGCTGCAGCTGGAGGCCATGGCTGTTACCGGCCCCGTCCTCGACAGCCCGGACTGCGTGCCCTTCCGCGATCCGGCCGAGTGCCCCCAGGCCCAGCTCACTGACAATGCCAACCAGCTGCTGCTCGTGAGCAGCCGGGCCCGGGAGCTGGTGGCCTGCGGGCAGGTGCGGCAGGGTGTGTGCGAGAAGCGGCGCCTCGGGGACGTGGCTGAGCTGCTGTACCAGGCCGAGGACCCTGGTGACGGGCAGTTTGTGGCCGCCAATGCTCCTGGAGTGGCCACGGTGGGCCTAGTGGTACCCATGCCAGGACGAGACCTTCTGCTGGTGGCCAGGGGCCTAGCGGGCAAGCTGTCTGGCGGGGTCCCTCCGCTGACCGTGCGCCAGCTAGCCGGGCCCCAGCCCTTCTCCAGCGAAGGCTTGGGCCGCCTCGTGGTGGGCGACTTGTCCGACTACAACAACAGCTACGTGGGCGCCTTTGCTGATGCCCGCTCCGCCTACTTCGTCTTCCGCCGCCGGGGGGCCCGGGCTCAGGCCGAGTACCGCTCCTACGTGGCCCGTGTGTGTCTGGGTGACACTAATCTCTACTCTTATGTGGAGGTGCCCCTGGCTTGCCGTGGCCAGGGCCTTGTCCAGGCTGCCTTCCTGGCCCCAGGCGCCCTGCTGGGGGCTTTTGCTGGCGGCCCAAGGGGCGCGAGGGCTGCGTTGTGCGCTTTTCCCTTGGTCCAGCTGGACAGGAGCATGGAGGCTGCCCGTCGGCTCTGCTACACGGCGGCCGGTCAGGGCCCCAGTGGCTCGGAGGAAGCCACCGTCGAGTATGGTGTGACGTCACGCTGTGTCACCTTGCCTCCTGTGAGTGCCTTTGCTCCCACCCTCTCAAGCTTCTGCTGGAAGGACCCCTTACCCCTTGTCAGCACCCCTACCCCCCACCCCAGATCTGTAGGTCTCAGTGTGGGTGGAGGCGGCAGCCCAGCCCACAAACATGACCATCACCCAGTGAGGAGACGCTGGCTGGTCTCCTGCCTCTCTTGCCCCAGTCGACCCTCCCGCCCCCCAGGACTCCCCGGAGTCGTACCCCTGTGGCGACGAACACACGCCCAGTCCCATTGCCGGCCGCCAGGCCGTGGAGGCCCAACCCCTGCTGCTGCTGGGGCAGCCTGTCAGCGCGATCACTGCCCTCCAGGAAGATGGGCACACAGTGGTTTTCCTGGGGGATACCCACGGCCAGCTGCATAAGGTGAGGGCCTGTTGGGGGAGGGCCCTGGCAGTCAGGGAAGCCCCCTGGGCTGCCCTCTGCCTTTTGGCCCGAGGCCCGCTGGCCAGTCTGAAGGCTGCAAAACATAGTGACAGCTGGCCCTCTGCCACCTCCTGCGCTGGCTCCCAGACGCTGTCCCGTGGCAGCCCTGCCTTCAGCAACAGAACCAGCCTGCGGGGCTGGGGGGGGGGGCGGGGAGCGGGGGGCCAGGGCCTGGCTCTCAGAGCGCCTGGCACATGGCGGAAGCTACCTGGGGAGGGTGTCCCAGGCCTGGTGCTGGTGGCTGGACCCTCAGTGACATGAATGGTCTCCCTAATCACATGGCAAGAGAAGTGGGTGCTGGGTGGACCGGGTGCTGCCCAGGAGTCCTGTGGATTGGACAGGTCTGTCCCTGCCAACGAGCCCCACCCTGGCAAGCTGGCTGGCCTAGGGCATCAGCCCGTGGCCCGGCCCAGCCCTCGCCTCCTGCGCCCCCCCCCCAGGTCTTTCTCAATGGCTCCCAGGGCCAGGTGTATGACTCTCAGCAAGTGGGGCCCCCGGGCTCGGCCATCAGCCCTGACCTACTGGTGGGTGGCAACGGCAGCCACCTCTACGTCCTGACTGCCCAGCAGGTAGGAGCTGTTGGGGGCAGGGGCTGGACACACATGGTCCAGGGTGCCACCCCACAGCCTCTCACCCTGCTGCCCATGCAGGTGGACCGGGTGCCCGTGGCCACCTGCCCCCAGTTTCCGGACTGCACCAGCTGCCTGCAGGCCCGAGACCCACTCTGTGGCTGGTGTGTCCTCCAGGGCAGGTGAGCACCGCCCTGGCCGGGGCTGAGCCTGGAGGCAGCTGAGGCTGGCTGAAAGATGTGGTGTCATCACTGTGCTCCCCTTCCCGCCCTGTCCCATGGGCCAGCACCCTCTTCTTGCCTTGCCTGACCCGCACCCATCTCCTTCCCCAGCCCCACCCCAGGCCTCCGTCCCTTCTTCTGGGGTCCCAGTCCTCCCCAGCCCGTTCCACACAGCAGACACTGGACCCTGTCTCCAACCATCCACTGCAGTGGCCTTCCCTCTCACTCCAAGTCAAGGCCAAAGCTAGCACCTTGACCATGAAACGCCCCCTTCCTCAGTGATGGTTGCCTTCATGCCCCCCTGCTCACTATCCTCCGGCTAGGCCATCTGTGTGGGCTGAGTGATGAAGGCTGGAGGTCCCTGAGACCCCACAGTGACCCAAGGGGCCCCTGCTCACCAGGTGTACCCGGAAGGGCCAGTGTGAGCGGGCAGCCCAACTGAACCAGTGGCTGTGGAGCTATGGGGAGGGCGACTGCTGCCCGCACATCCAGGCCCTGCTGCCGGCCCAGCACCCCCGCCAGGAGCAGGGCCAGGTATGACATGGCCAGGCTGGGGCCCTGGGCTGTGGGGAGACACGTTGCTTGGCGCCGCCTGCCCCGCCTGCTCTGCTTCCGCCCCCAGCACAGGTACAGCCCGCCCTTCTGAGCCCGGAAGGCCCCCTGCCCTGCTTCTCTCCTGCTCGGCTGCAGGTCACCCTCTCTCTTCCTTGGCTGCCTGCCTTGGCCCTGGACGAGTACTTCCACTGTGCCTTTGGAGACTATGACAGCTTGGCTCACGTGGAAGGACCCCATGTGACCTGTGTCACCCCTCCCCATGACCAAGTGCCCCCTAACCCTCCAGGCACAGGTAAGGGTCCCAGCGGGCAGGGCAGGGGGCCTAGGTGGGAGCTGGAGGAGGCAGCAGGCCCTCTGGCCCCCCCCTGCCACCACTTTCCCCTCCCAGACCACGTCACCCTGCTGCTGGCCCTGATGTTCGAGGACGTGGTGGTGGCTGCGGCCAACTTCTCCTTCTACGACTGCAGTGCCATCCAGGCCTTGGATGTGGCTGCCCCGTGAGTTGCTGGGCATGGCTCCTGCCGGGTGCAGGCCCAGGGCCCCAACGTGCCCAGCCTGAGCCGCCTCCCTGCCCCCCCCCAGGTGCCAAGCCTGCGTGGGCAGCCTCTGGCAGTGCCACTGGTGTCCCCAGAGCGGCCAGTGTGTGTCTGGGGGGCACTGTCCTGAGGGTGAGAGGATCATCTACAGCGCCCAGGAGGTGGGTGGGGCCACCAGGCTGGGGCCTCCCCTTTCCCCCCTAGGCACCCAAGGTGAAGGCAGGTTGCTCCGCCCCACACCCTGGCCAGAGGCTCCTTGAGTCCTGAAGGGCTACGTCTCGTTTCTGCAGGTGGACATCCAGGAGCGGGGCCCAGAGGCTTGCCCCAAGGTCGTGGGCCTAGCAGGTCCCGTCCTGGTGCCTGTGGGCTGGGAGAGCCACTTGGTGCTACGCGTGCGGAACCTGCAGCATTTCCGAGTGCGTGCCTGTGTGTGTGTGTGTGTGTGTGTTGGGGGGCAGGAGGATGGGGGCATGGGGATGGAGCAGGTGGGCGTTCGGGTGTATGGGCCCCTGACCATGTCCTGCCCTAGGGCCTGACTGCCTCCTACAACTGCTGGCTGGAGCTGCCAGGAGAGCTTAGGAGGCTGCCTGCCTCCCTGGAGGAGGTGACTGCGGATGGGAGTCTCATCCACTGCCAGAGCCAGCAGGTGGGCAGCTACTCGGTCACTCCCCCCACCTGCCCCGGGTCCCCAAGTCCTCATAGCATCTTCCGTTCTTCCTGGCTACAGATTGAGCCCCTCATCTCATCGTCAGCTCTATGCCAGACCCCCACCTTTGCCCTGGGCCCTGGACAACTGTGCCCATTCTGGGGGAGACCTGGAGGCGGCAGGGGTCGGGGCGCCCTGATTGGGCCCGGGGCCTGACCCACACCTCCGCCCACAGTTTCACCCCTCGGCCTCCCAGCGGGAGCTGCAGGTGCCCATCTACGTCACCCGAGGCCAGGCCCAGCGCCTGGACAATGCAGACCCTCTTTATGGTGAGCTGGGGGCAGGGGGGGCAGGCTGGGCCTGCGGCCGAGGGGTAGGGGCTCAGCACTGCCTCCCCTTCCCCAGTGACCCTGTATGATTGTGCCATGGGCCACCCCGACTGTAGCCGCTGCCAGGCAGCCAATAGGAGCCTGGGCTGCCTGTGGTGTGGCCACAGCCAGCCAGCCTGTCGCTACGGGCCCCTGTGCCCACCCGGGGCCACCCAGCAGCTCTGCCCCAAGCCCCTCATCTTCTCGGTGAGTCCCCCCAAGCCCCTTCCTCCCTCACGCACCCCTGACTTTCCCAGCCTCACCTGCCCCGGGTCCCCAAGTCCTCACAGCATCTTCCTGGCTACAGATTGAGCCCCACACCGGCCCCCCAGAGGGAGGCCTGGCCCTCACCATCCTGGGCTCCGACCTGGGCCGGGACTTTGCTGACGTCTGGGATGCTGTGAGCGTGGCCGGCCGGCCCTGCAGGCCTGACCCAGCTCGCTACCAGATCTCCACCCGGTGAGGCACCAGGGTGGGCAAGGGCAGGAAGGGCCTGCCCACCCCAGGAGCAAAGAGCCTCGCAACCGAGAAGTGTGGGGTCCCAGTTCAGAAGGGGGAGGAGCTGGCGGGGGAAGTGGGGGCTGGCTGCCTGTGGCCCTGGACAGGCGAGGGCCCAGCCCACGGGAGTCAGTTCTCTCTGTGGCAGGGGCTGCATTCTGGTCTTCACTTCAGGATCATCTGTGTGACGTCTCCTGCCCCTAATGGCACGACAGGGCCAGTCCAAGTGGCCATTAAGAGTCGCCCACCAGGCATCTCTACCCAGCACTTCACTTACCAGGTCGGGGCCCCGTGGGGCTGGTCCACACGCAAGGGGGCGGGATGGTCAGGAGGGGCAGGCCCCTCGGTGGTCACTGTGAACCTGACCCGTGGTAGCAGGCCACTGGCTGTGTGTCTGGGAGGGGTGGTGGGATATGGGGGGCTCCAGGCAGAAGCACTAGGGGCAGCATCAGGGGCTTAGCATCAGGAGGTCTGCTTGGTGACAGCAAAGAGACAGTTGGGGTGGGTGGCCAGGGGAAGGTCATCGTGAAGAGGAAGACTTGGGGAAGCCAGACACAGTGCTCTGGTCGGCTGTGGACCAGCGAACAGCATAGAGGAGTGCAGCCCGGGGGTCACGGGGACGTTAGGTACCAGGTTGGACTGCCAGGCCTCCCCCAGCCCACCCTGTTCCCCAGGACCCTATCCTGCTGAGCCTGAGCCCCCGGTGGGGCCCCCAGGCAGGGGGCACCCAGCTCACCATCCGTGGACGGCATCTCCGGACAGGGGGCAATGTCAGCGCCTTTGTGGGGGGCCAGCCCTGCCCCATGTGAGTACCTGTGGGCCTCAGGGTCCTGAGGGCTCCCTTCCAAGTTGCAGAGTGGCTGCAGCTGACCCCATCGGTTTCCTTGAAGAAGGCAGAGGGGCTCAGGTGGGGCCAGTGTTGGGCCACAGCCCAAGAGAACATCCCTCTCCTGCCCCGCAGCCAGGGGCCCGTGTGCCCTGAGGCCATCACGTGCCGCACCATGCCCCAGCCAGCCTTAGGGAAAGCAGCTGTCCGAGTGGTCTTTGGCCAGGCCCAGCGCACACTGCCATCCAGCCCATTCCTGTACACAGCCAACCCCCAGCTGCTGGCGGCGGAGCCCAGTGTCAGCTTCCGGGGGTGAGGACCTGGGCTGCTGCAGGCGGAGGCTGGGGTACCCCCTTCCGCTGCCACCTTCTGACTGCCATCCTGGTGCAGGGGCGGGCGGCTGATCCGTGTCAGGGGCTCGGGCCTGGACGTGGTGCAGCGACCCCTGCTGTCAGTGTGGCTGGAGGCTGAGGGCCAGGCAGGGGACGTGCCGGCCTGGCCAGAGCCCCAGCCTCTGGAGCCAAGGCGGAGCTGTGGGGCCCCAGCTGCAGACCCCCAGGCTTGTGTCCAGCTCGGGGGCGGCTTGCTGCAGGTGAGCCCCCACCACCAGTGCGGCGGGGGAGGTCAGCGGGTGCCAGCTGACCCCTGTGCCCGCCCCGACCGCCTCTCACAGTGCTCCACGGCCTGCTCAGTTAACTCGTCCAGCCTCCTTGTGTGCCCGAGCCCTGCTGTGCCCGATGGCACCCGCCCCCACCGGGTCTTCTTCACCCTGGACAACCTGCACGTGGACTTCACCAGAGCCAGCGGGGGCCAAGCTTTCCTCTACCAGCCCAACCCCCGCCTGGCGCCCCTCAGCCGTGAGAGCCCCACCCGGCCCTACCGTCTCAAGCCAGGCAACGTGCTGGACGTGGAGGTGAGGGGCGCTGCTCGGGCCTTGGGTGGGAGAGGTGGAGCCCTGCTCAGGCCCGCGCTCTGTCCTCCAGGGTGAGGGCCTCAATCTGGGCATCAGCAAGGAGGAGGTGCGCGTGCTCATCGGGGATGCCGAGTGCCTGGTGAAGACACTCACCCTCACACACCTGTACTGCGAGCCGCCGCCGCGGGCCCCGCGGCCCCACAACGGCTCCGGCAGCCTGCCCCAGTTCGTGGTGAGGCCGCGTGGTGGGGGGCCGGCGGCGGGCGGCAGGTACCTGCGGCCCGAGCTCACGGCCGCCCGCCCGCCCCCCCCGCAGGTGCACATGGGCAATGTACGGCTGCCACTAGGCCCCGTGCAGTACGAAGCGGAGCCCGCGCTGGCCGCCTTCCCCACGGAGGCCCAGGTGGGCCTGGGGCTGGGTGCCGTCCTGCTGACTGGTGCCGTGCTCGTGCTCACCCTCAAGTACAGGTGAGGCGCCGGGCCCAGCCCGCGCTCCCTCAGCCTCCCTCCGCCAGGTGGGGAGGGCAGCCTGCGGGCTGGGCTGACCCCAGGCCCTGGGCTCCAGGCACAAGAGCAGGCAGGCTCTGCGGGATTACCGGAAGGTGCTGCTGCAGCTGGAGACCCTGGAGATCGGCGTGGGCGACCAGTGCCGCAAGGAGTTCACAGGTGCGCGCGCGCGCGCGCGGGGGGCCAGGGCAGGGCCCGGCCTGGCCTGGCCCCCCTCACCTGCGCCCGCCCACAGACCTGATGACCGAGATGACGGACCTCAGCAGCGACCTGGAGGCCAGCGGGATCCCCTTCCTAGACTACCACACCTACGCCGAGCGCGTCTTCTTCCCGGGCCACGGCGGCTGCCGGCTCCAGCCCACTCCCGACGGGCCCGAGGAGGGGGGCCTCAGTGCCACCGTGCGCCAGGGCCTCACGCAGCTGTCTCACCTGCTGAACAGCAAGCTCTTCCTCCTCACGGTGAGGGCCGCCCGGGCTCGGGGCCCTGGCAGGGCTGGGATGGAAGTGAGGGCCCGGGCAGGCGGGCGGCATGGGACTGCCCCAAGTGAGCACTGGCCCCCCGCCCAGCTCATCCGCACGCTGGAGGAACAGCCGAGCTTCTCCCAGCGCGACCGCTGCCACGTGGCCTCCCTGCTGTCCCTGGCGCTACACAGCAAGCTGGAGTACCTGACCGACATCCTCTGGACCCTGCTGGGTGACCTGGCTGCCCATTACGTGGCTAAGAACCCCAAGCTCATGCTTCGGAGGTGGGCCCTGGGGTGGGCGGGCCAGGGACCACAGGAGGCAGACTCCAAGGGAAGCCTCTGAGTGCCAGAGGGGCGGGGACTCCCAGGAAGGGGCTCTTGGTACTGGCGAAACTGTGGTGGGTGGGGTGGCCCGGGGGAGGGGCAGGGCAGGCTTGCGGGCCCCTGAGCTGGGGCCTGCTCCCTGCAGGACGGAGAGCATGGTGGAGAAACTGCTCACGAACTGGCTGTCCATCTGTCTGTACTCCTTCCTGAGGGTGAGAGGCACTGCCCACCTGCAGCCGTCCTCATTCCCAGGCTGCCTCAGGGTCACGGGGAGGGCAGTGTGATGGCGTGTGTGGGAGAGGAAGGGCTGGAACCCTGAATGGGGCCAGAGGTGAGGGCAGGCGGCTCAGGGCAGGAACCGAGCCGCCTCGTGCCCATCACACCTGTCTCGGTGGTCACAGGAGGTGGCTGGCGAGCCACTGTACGTGCTCTTCCGGGCCATCAAGTACCAGGTGGACAAGGGCCCCGTGGACGCTGTGACGGGCAAGGCCAAGTGCACCTTGAACGACAGCCGCCTGCTCCGGGAGGACGTGGAGTTCCGGCCCCTGACGCTCATGGTGTTGGTGGGCCCAGGGTCTGGCGGGGTGGCCGGCACTGGTGTGGAGCAGTGGGTGCCAGCCCGGGTGCTCGACACCGACACCATCACCCAGGTCAAGGAGAAGGTGCTAGACCAGGTCTACAAAGGCACCCCCTTCTCCCAGAGGCCCTCCGTACACGCCCTAGACCTTGGTGAGTGCCCACCCATCTGGGCCCTTCCCATCTTGCCAAGAACGAGGAAGTCTGCGAACAGGCTGGGGCTGACTGGTTTCCCTGCATCCCCCTCACCCCAGAGTGGCGCTCGGGCATGGCTGGTCACCTCACCCTGTCTGATGAGGACCTGACCTCGGTGACCCAGAGTCACTGGAAGAGACTCAACACCCTGCAGCACTACAAGGTGAGGGTTATGGTCCGGCCCTGCCCCGGGGCTCCACCAGCGATGACGCCTGAGCCTCTGCTCCCTCCCCGCCAGGTCCCGGATGGAGCAACGGTGGGCCTTATCCCCCACCACACAGGGGCTGTGGCCCAGAGCTGCCCATCGGGGGATAGTGAGTGCCTCAGCCAACCCCACTGTCCCTGAGACCACCACGCTTCCCGGAGAGGCTAGGCCTTACCTGGGCTCCCCAACCTTGCCCAAGGGAAGTGAGGGCCAAAGCCCAGGGTACCAGGCCAAAGCAGGAGGGAGCACCCCTCCAGCCGTCCATCTTCCTCTCCCCACTACCCTCTTTTGTTCCCCCACTGGGTGAGCGGGCCAGGCGTCCCAGGCCAACAGAATTAGGCCAGTCCTGGTGCCCTCAGATACGCCCATGCTGGAGGCTGGTGAGGATGACGAGGAGGGCAGACCCCGCCTCTGGCACCTGGTGAAGGCCACCGAGGAGCCAGAAGGGACCAAGCCAAGGCGCAGCAGCCTGCGGGAGCGAGAGCGCGAGCGCGCCCGGGCCAAGGCCATTCCGGAAATCTACCTCACCCGCCTGCTCTCCATGAAGGTCGGGGGCTGGGGTGGCAGGTGGGGGTTCTGGTGAGCTGGTGCTAGCCCGGCGCATGCACCTGACGGCCCCACCTGCCTTGCAGGGCACACTGCAGAAGTTTGTGGATGACATGTTCCAGGCCATCCTAAGCGTGAACCGCCCCGTGCCCATAGCTGTCCGGTACCTATTCGACTTCCTGGATGAGCTGGCGGAAAAGCATGGCATTCAGGACCCTGAGACCCTGTACATCTGGAAGACCAACAGGTGCCCCTCTTGCTGCGGGGAGCCCCCCCCCCGGGGGGGGCCAACAGACCAGGCCTTGCCCCACCCTGCCTCGATTTCACCCTCCTCCATGGACTCTTGGGAGGATCTGGGGCCCACATCCCCCAGGCACAAGGACAGCTCCCTACGGGAACGTGGGCCGGGCTCTGGTGGCGGCAGGCACTGCCCTCGGACCCACGTCTGGCCTCTGTCTCCAGTCTGCTGCTGCGGTTCTGGGTGAACACCCTGAAGAACCCCCAGCTCATCTTTGATGTGCGGGTGTCGGATAACGTGGACGCCGTCCTGGCCGTCCTCGCCCAAACCTTCATCGACTCCTGCACCCTCTCCGAGCACAAAGTGGGCCGGGTGAGGGGCCCTGGAGCCCTGGGGCTGCAGGGGGCGGGGCCAGGAGGCCTGGGGCGGGGCTCACACGACGCCTTCCCCTCTGGACCAGGATTCCCCCGTCAACAAACTGCTCTACGCCCGGGAGATCCCCCGATACAAGCAGATGGTGGAGAAGTAGGTGTCCTGCTGGCAGCTAAGGGCTGGGGGGAGGGCAGGCCTGGCCCACCCCTAACTCCATCCTCTCCCCCAGATACTACAGGGACATTCGCCAGAGCTCCCCTGCCAGCTACCAGGACATGAACTCAGCCCTGGCTGAGCTCTCAGGGGTGAGGGGCAGCCCGGCACGAGGGTGAAGGGGGGCACACAGGGTGCAGGCCGGAGCCTCACCCCCACCCTGTGCTCCCCTAGCGCTCTGCCTCTGCCCCTCACTGCCTGGAGGCCCTGCGGGAGCTCTACAAACACATCCACAGGTATTACGACCAGGTAAGGCCCGGGCCGCCCTGGAGTGGAGGGGCCCCCACCTGAGCTTCAGGCACGGACCCGGGAGCTGAAGCAGGGCCGGGAAGGCCTGGGCCTCAGGCGGGCCCCCTCCCCTCCCGGGCAGATCGTCAGCGCCCTGGAGGAGGACCCCGTGGGCCAGAAGATGCAGCTGGCCTGCCGACTGCAGCACATCGCCGCCCTGGTGGAGAACAAAGTGACTCACCTGTGAGCTCCATGGGCCTGGGGAGCAGCCAGCAGGAACCCCATCGCAGCGCCTTAGCACCCCTGGGTCCAGCCAGGGCCCACGGAGGGGCTGGCCCAGCACGTGGGGTGGGGTGCCCGCCAGGCCCTGCGCCCGGCAGCAGCCCTGCGCCAGCTCCCCGCCCGCTGGGGCTCGTGTCTGATTTACAGCCATCTCTCTCCTGCTGACCCCCCGCCGCGTCCTGTGTATTTATTTGCTCGCTGGAGAATTACATCTACAAATAAAACAGAAACATGTCTTTCTAGAAAAAGCCCAGCTTTCTCCCGCAAGTCGGCTCCATGTCGTGAGGACTGCCTTCCCGGGTCTGGGACACTCTTGTCACCACGGTGTGGCTCCTGCCACCCAAGGGAAAGAGAGGGGCACGGGACTGAGGGACACCCACGGTCAAAGCCAGGGCCCCTCCGCTTCACCCTGAGCCCCAGTGGCCTGCACGCTTGCCACTGCCCCTCCCCTCCCAGCCTAAACAGCTTGAATCATCCAAGGCCGAGGTGCCTGTAGTCCCCTACGTGCCCCAGCCACACCACGCCATGGTCAGGTGAGGGGTGGTGACAGATCTGGGGGCCCCGTTCCTCCCCAAGGTCCCAGGTTCCACAGGGCTCTAGAGGTCACGGGCCAGCGCCTGGGCTCAGCCACCTTGTGGGCTGCGCTTGCTCCCTCTGAAGGCAGGGCTGGAGTGGCAGGCTCGCTGGGGGCCTCTGCAAAGGGTGGCGGGACGGTGAGGGGCCGGGCTCAGATCTGGGCCGCTTACTGGGGACTTCTGGCCTTGGGCCGGCAGGAGCCCCACCAGCACCACAGATGAATGGGGCAGATGTGGGGCGGGAAAGGCGGGAAGCAGCCCAGCGCGCAGGGCAGGAGCTCCCGATGGGAGTGGGAGGGGCCGAGCACAGGCGGAGAATCTGCCCTGTGAGCGCGCAGCGCCAGCAGCCATGGGGGCCTAATGGCTGCTGCGGTCACACGTGGGGCTCCGCCTGGGGCTCCGTCTTCGTAGCGTGTCCACTTGGTGGCCCCGAGGGTGGTACTGGAGACTAAGGGCCCAGCCACCGTTCCCCAAGCAGGTAGCACAGGGGCTCAGTCTCTGGGCCGGGCCGTGGCATGTCCCTGCGTGGGGCTAGGCTCAGGGGGTGCCGCCAGTGTCTCCAGCCAGTGTCGCGCCGCCCCCTCCCCGCGCCCGCCTGCATACCTTGCCTGCAGCCGAGCAGCTGGGAGGCTATTTATAAAGGCGGGTGAGATCAGCAGCCGAGGCTATAAATGCAGGGGCCGAGGCTGGGCCCCACAGGAGCAGCCGCCCCGGGGCGCCGGAGCTGCAGGCCTGGCGGGATGAGCGCCAGCGCAGGCGGCGGCGAGGACAGCGGCGGCAGCAGCAGCAGCAGGTAGGGCCCGGCCTGGCACCTTGGGGCCCTGGGCACTTCTCTGAGCTCACTGTCACCCGCCCCCAGCTCACAGGCCTCCTGTGGGCCTGAATCCTCGGGTTCCGAGTTGGCCCTGACCGGGCCAGTGCCAAGAATGCTGCAGGGGCTTCTGGGCTCTGACGACGAGGAGCAGGAAGACCCCAAGGACTACTGCAAGGGTGAGGCCTGGGCTGGCCCCAAGGCAGCCTCTGCCGGGCTGGGACCGCCTCTGGGAGCAAGCGGGTGCGCCCAGACGGGGAGGCCCGGACTGGGCCCGAGGGGTCAGAGGGCCAGCAGGGGGCTCCCTGGAGGCTGGGGAGGTGGAGCAGGCCCACCGTGATCTCTGGGTTCCCTCACCAGGCGGCTACTACCCAGTCAAGATCGGTGACTTGTTCAATGGGCGGTACCACGTGGTGCGCAAGCTGGGCTGGGGCCACTTCTCCACCGTTTGGCTCTGCTGGGACATCCAGTGAGTGGCCCATGGGCCTCCCTGCCCCCTGCGTGCCAGCCTCACTCAGGGCCACCCGGCTGCCCCCCGCTGAGCTGGCCAGGGCCACAGCCGGCACGGGTCTTGTTGCAGGCGCAAGCGGTTCGTGGCCCTGAAAGTGGTGAAGAGCGCCGGGCATTACACAGAGACAGCTGTGGATGAGATCAAGCTCCTCAAATGCGTGAGGCCCCGCCTCCTGCAGCTGTTGGCCAGGCGGGCGGGTGGGCAGGCGGGACACTCTGGAGGCAGGGGGCGGAGGGGTTGGTGTGGCCCACTTCTGTGGACAGCGGCAGAGGTGTCACAGGGGGGCTGGCGCCACTGTGACCCTGTGGCATCTGCTCCAGGTGCGGGACAGTGACCCCAGTGACCCCAAAAGAGAGACCATTGTTCAGCTTCTTGACGATTTCAGGATCTCGGGGGTTAATGGTGTCCGTATCCTTTGTGGCTGTGAAGGGGCCAGCTCGTTCCTTCCCAGCTTCCCGGCCCTCTGCTGACCTGTGTGATGGGCACATCCCCCCAGGGGTGCTCGTCTACGGAACTGGGGTGGGAGGGGGGTTGCCTTGGGGGCTGTTCCTCCAGCGCTCGCTTTCTCTAGGATGGCCACAGAATCTGTACCGTCCAAACTGGCACGCTTCTGCAAGTGACAGGGAACACTATAAATAATCGTGCTGGGTGATGGGGGCCACCGGGACTGCCTGGGGCAAACGGGCCTGCCTGCTCACCCTGCCGCCCTGCCCTTGCTCGCCGCCGCCGCCCTTCACTCAAACGGCCAGATGTGTGTATGGTGCTCGAGGTCCTGGGCCACCAGCTGCTCAAGTGGATCATCAAGTCCAACTACCAGGGCCTGCCTGTGCCCTGCGTTAAAAGCATCGTGAGGCAGGTGAGCGATGCCCACCGGGCCCAGGCCCAGCGTGGCCAGCTGGGGAAGCTCAGGGCTGGCTCTCACCAGGTGCTGAGCGGCCTAGACTACCTCCACACCAAGTGCAAGATCATTCACACGGACATCAAGCCCGAGAATATTCTGCTGTGCGTGGGGGATGCCTACATCCGGCGCCTGGCTGCCGAAGCCACAGAGTGGCAGCAGTCGGGGGGCCCGCCCCCCTCTCGCTCCACAGGTACCACGAGCTTGGCAGCTTGGCAGGCTGGGCGGGGCTGGGCGGCCTCAGCCCTCCTGAGTATGTTTCTTTCCCTCCCCATCTGTCCGCCGGTCTCTTGGCCTCCAGTCAGCACTGCCCCCCAAGAGGTCCTGGTAAGTTGGGGTGCCCTCGTCCTGGGCTGCATCTCCCCGTCTTCAAGGCTTGCTTCCTCCCCATCCCCATGTCCACAGTAGCACATCTGAAAGGCTGGGTGGCCTGGATGAACGTGACACACACGTAGGGAGGTGCCCCATGCCCCAAGCTGCCTCAGTGGCAGGCCTCAGGGCCTCACCAACCAACAGCACAGCCCTGGGTGCTGGCTGAGCCGCTGCCCCAGGGTGGACGAACGTCCCCTCCTCCGGGTGGCAGGTGAGGGACCGGGTTTGGGAGCAGGAGCAGGAACAAGGAAGGGGCTGCGAGGAGGAGACAGGGAGTATGCAGTGTGGCACCTAACTGCTGGGGACAGAAGGCAGTGACGACAGACAGTGTGAGGCAGGCAGGTGGGCGACAGTGGGCTGGACTATGAGGCCCCAGGGCCCGGAGACCTGCTCCCTCACGAGCACGTGCAGGCCCGGGGCACAGGTCTTGGCGGGCCGGGGCGAGCCCCAGGGCCTTCCCGCGAGTGCCACTCTGCTGCAGCCGGGAAAGCTGTCCAAGAACAAGAGGAAGAAGCTGCGGCGCAAGCAGAAGCAGCAGAAGCGGCTGCTGGAGGAGCGGCTGCGGGACCTGCAGAGGCTGGAGGCCATGGAGGCCGCGGCCCAGGCCGAGGGTGAGGGCACCACCAGGCGGCGGGTGGTGGGGCATGGGCCGTGGGGCAAGTCGGCGCCCCAACCGGCTCCCTCCCATGTGCCCAGACGCCAGCTCGAGACTGGAAGGGGGCAGCGGCTCTACCTCTTCTTCTGGCTGCCACCCTGGGGGGGCCGGGGCAGGCCCTTCGCCAGCCTCCTCATCGCCGGCCCTGGGAGGAGGACGCAGCCTCAGTCCCAGCTCGCAGACGTCCGGCTTCTCAGGCTCGCTTCTCTCTGCCACCTCCTGCTCCATCCTCTCGGGGTCTTCCAATCAGCGGGAGACCGGGGGCCTCCTCTCTCCTAGCGGTAAGTGGGCCAGGGATGCGGGCTGGCCGCGGGCTGGGGTGGGCTGCTCACTCTGGGCTCTCCCGTTCCCAGTGCCTTTCGGTGCCTCAAGCCTCCTGGTGAACCCCCTGGAGCCCCAAAATGCGGATGAGATCAAGATCAAGATCGCAGATCTGGGCAACGCCTGCTGGGTGGTATGAGGGCCGGGAGCCCAGCAGGGCAAGGCGCCTTGGCTGGGAGGGGCCGGTGTTCTCCAGGTGCCCTGACGGGAGGGGAGCCGTGGCCCTGACTTGGGGCCTGTAGCGTACACCGTTCATCTGTTTAGTTGCGGGCTCCTTCGCCAATCTACTCCACCAGTGCAGTGCCAAGTGGCCACCACCACCCTGAGACTTGGGTCACCGGCTCAGTCCCTCGGACACGCGGGGACCCATGGCTCAGCCAAGCCCCAGCTGGCCTCTCTGGGCTCCGGGGAAGCCACGGCTAGGCTGGGCAGGCTTCTCCCAGGGCTCTCCTTGCCTGCAGCACAAGCACTTCACCGAGGACATCCAGACGCGGCAGTACCGAGCTGTGGAGGTGCTGATCGGCGCCGAGTACGGGCCCCCGGCCGACATCTGGAGCACAGCCTGCATGGTAGAGGGGGGGCAGGGCAGGGGGGGCTCGTGGGGTGGGGGCCTGTGGCGGCCTCACCTTCTCCGTTTCAGGCCTTTGAGCTGGCCACCGGCGACTACCTGTTTGAGCCCCACTCTGGGGAAGACTACAGTCGGGACGAAGGTAGGTGAGGCAGGCCTGGGGCTGCCCTCAGGGCCCCCTGGCGGCTGCCCACCGTCCCCCTCTGTGCCACAGACCACATCGCCCACATCGTGGAGCTCCTGGGAGACATCCCCCCGGTGTTCGCCCTGTCGGGCCGCTACTCGCGAGAGTTCTTCAACCGCAGAGGTGGGGCCGGGGACGCAGGGCCGGGGGCCAGGGCCCGGCCCGGGCAGAGAATGATACGGCGCCTCCCCCAGGACAGCTGCGGCATATCCACAACCTGAAGCACTGGGGCCTCTACGAGGTGCTCATGGAGAAGTACGAGTGGCCCTTAGAGCAGGCGACACAGTTCAGTGCCTTCCTGTTGCCCATGATGGAGTACATCCCAGAGAAGCGGGCCAGCGCCGCCGACTGCCTGCAGCACCCCTGGCTCAACCCCTAGCCCCACTGCGCACCGGCCCTCGGGCCTCCGGCTCACCCCAGCTCCAGTGCCTTGAGGCAAGCAGGGTGTCCCTGCCGCCCACGGGAGCAGCCTCCCCACCCCCGCTGGTGGTGAGCCCGTCACTGCCCTGTGCGCAGGGTCTGCTCTGTCCCCGGTCCTCACAGCACGGTCCTCTGATGGGAAGCAGCACGGGTCTTTTCTTAATAAAGTTGGAACTGCAAGCCCGGCATTGTGAATGGGGTGAGTGGCTCACCCCTGGAGGAGAGAAGCACCAAAGCCAAGGTTGGGGGCAGAGGCCGCTTTATTACGCAGTTGGGCTGCTGATCTGCTGGGGCTGCCAGGGGGCAGAGGAGCAGGCACCCAGGCTGGGTGGCTAGGCCTCCACGGCCTGGCCATTGACGACGCGGATGTGCCAGATGATGTCCTGGATGGCCTCAGACGTGGTGCCCTGGCCCCCGATGTCTGGGGTGTGCATCTGCAGAAGGAGGCCCACTTGGGCACCTGGCGCCATCCCACCAGCACCCGAGCCCCACCCTGCAGGGGGTGCCCACCGTCTCTAGGGCTGGCAGGGGCTGAAATTGCCACCAGTAGGGCTGTGGGACCGACCAAAGCTCAGAAGCCCGACCCTGCTGCTACCGCCCTGCCTGTGGGGGTGGCAAGAGCAGTGAGTCACAAGGGCTCAGCACGGGCTAGGGCGGGGAAGGGGAGAGAGCCTCACGTTCTCATTGTCCATGGACGCCAAGACGGCCTTGCGGATGGAGGTGGCGTAGGAGTGGAGCCTAAGAGAGGGGAGAGGCAAGCCTTGGGTCCTCAGGGCCTTGGGTGTTGGCCAGAGCAGCCGTTAGGCACCAAGGATCCACTTACTTGAGGTGATCGAGCATCATGCAACTTGCCAGCAGTGTTGCCGTGGGGTTGGCAATGTTTTTATTGGCGATGCTCTTGCCAGTGTTCCTGGTCGCCTGGAAGAGGCAGGACAGAGAAGGGGCAAGCACAAAGCTTGTGATTCCGTTTCTAAGCTCCCAGATCAGCCCAGGCCCTGACAGGCAAACGCAGACACAGAGGTGAGTAGTTGGCAGGGGCAGGGCGAGAGGCACTAGGGAGTGACCACTGATTTCACTTGGGGTGATGGAAACCTCTGGAACGAGACAGAGGTGATGGCTGCACAGCTTGATGGCGGTGCACTGTGCACTTCAGAACCGCAAACGTTTAAATGCTTTTCTTGTGGCGAAAGACGTAGAACATAAAACGTGCCATTTGAGCCACTTTAAATAAATAGTTCCCACCAGCCACTCCTCGGAAGGAAGGTTGGGCAATCCTACTTCCGTAGTGATACTGCCTTGGAAACCCAAGGAGGAGTCGCTATGAGTCGGGGCCGACTCGACGGCACATAACAACAACAACAACAACAAATAAATAGTTCAGGATGTCGCTGATGCGCACAATGGTGCACCTGATGCTCAAACACCTCGTTTCACGTCACTCTGATTTTACATCGAACAATAATGAGAAAACCTTGTAAGAAACTGACAAACGGATAAACAAGAGCAGCCCCTCCACGGGATGCACTATCACTCAACCCCAAAGGAAAACGGAGTCCTGATCCACACTCCGAAGCACAAGAGCCTTGAAAACGTGATGCCGAGCATGGAAGTCACGCACGAAAGGCTAGCTATTGCATGATTCCATGTTCATGAAATGCCCGGGGCACAGCGATCTAGAGACCACACCCACAGGGCTGGGGAGGATGGGGACTGGGAAGCGAAGGCTGAAGGGTGTGGGGGTTCTCATGACGAAATGTTCCCAGATTGACTGAGCGACAGCTGCCAGCTCTGTGAACGTGCTAAAAAGCACTGAATCGGGCCCTTCCGGTGGGTGAACCGAAGGCTGCGCAGACCGCGTCTGTGACAGTGCTTATAAAGCAGCACGTCCGGCGGCTCATGGTGCCGGCAACCCACCCCACCAGAGGAGACGGGGTGCACCACCTCACACCCCCCAGCCGCTCACCGTCTCAAACACTGCATAAACATGGCCATAGTTGGCCCCAGCCACAAGGCCTGGGCCCCCGACCAGCCCTGCACACACGTTGTTGACGATGTTGCCGTAGAGGTTCGGCATCACCATGACGTCAAACTGCTGGGGCCGGGACACCAGCTGTGGGGCAAGGAGGGTGCTGAGGGGGCGACTCGGCAACACGGCCCAGCCCAGGGCACCGAGCACTGGAAGCCACGGCCAGGGGGCGGACAGCCACGCCAACTACCTGCATGGTAGTGTTGTCCACAATCATACTCTCAAAGGTGATCTGGGGGTAGCCAGCAGCAACCTCCCGGCAGCACTGTAGGAAGAGTCCATCGCCCAGTTTCCTGGGGGAAGATACAGGACATCGGCTTGCCCATCACCCATCCGTGGAGAGGGCCATGGACACAGCTCCCCTCTAACCTGCCCCTGGGCTGCTCATGGGCACAGCCTGTCCCACTTCCGTCCAGTTTGGACTTGGTGAGGCTCTGGCAGAGGATAGGGTGTGTTGAGCACCGAGGGCCACAGGACAGCCCTGGGCATGGCCCCATGGTGGGTGACGGGTTCCTGAAGGCAGGGCGGCTGGGGGGGGGCGGGCATACATGATGTTGGCCTTGTGCACGGCTGTGACTTTTTGGCGCCCGCTCTCATGGGCCAGCTTGAAGGCATACTCAGCGATGCGCAGGGACTTGGCCTTGGTGATGATCTTCAGGCTCTCCACCACTCCAGCCACGCTCTGGGGGTGGGGGCAGAAGAAGCCACCTGTCCCTGGCTGATCCTGCCCCAGAGGAGCCAGCAGACAGAACGGCGGCCGCCCTGTCTCTGAGTACCCCTGGCTCTTCCCTTGGGCACAGCCTTGCTGCCTTTTAGAACACCACCCCCTTTCTTGAGCCAGAAGATCTTCCCTCAACCCTGACCCCAAAGGGCCACCCGTGGCCCCCTGGACCTCATGCTCCAGGCTGCTGTACTCGCCCTCGGTGTTCTCCCGGACAATAAGGATGTCGATGTCCTTGTGCCGGGTCACCACCCCAGGCAGGCTCTTGCAGTGGATGACATTGGCATAGAGGTCCAGGCTGGTGCTGGGGGAAGACAGTCACAGCTGAGCCTGACTGAGAGCCGCTCCCCCAACCAGGCCACCCTCCCCGTGCACTTGGCCTCACCGAAGGATGTTGTTTCGGGATTTGTGGGATGGTGGCAGATTGTGGTTTGTTTCAATGTTGCCTGCAGAACCAGAACAAGAGAAGCAGGCTGGCCAGGGGGTCCCCAAGGTCTGTGCTGCCACAGTCCAGGGAGCAACTCCAAAGGCAAGCCACCTGTGGCTGGTGGGTGGGGGCGTGCCCACTGGGTTCACTGATGTGTGCCAAGGGCCCAGACAGGTACTCCGTAAGTAGTGAGTGAATAAACGATGCTTGGAAAGCTGGCCAGCAGGCCTGCCACTGGCACCCTCCCCTCTCTAAGTTCAGAGCCTCTCCTATTCACTGTCAGCCATCACCCCACTGTCTCCCAAATGGCTTGGAGCCCTTCGTGCAGCTGCTGTGTCTGTGACACCTTGTTTTTGACAATGCTCTGAGGGTCAAAGTGGACCCCTAGCAGAGAGGGCATCCTCAGGAGGGATGCAGGGGGCAGGAGGGAGTCTGGGGGCATCAAGGTCTCAGAACCGGAGTGTGGAGAGACCCCTGGAAGCTTCTGGCCAGCCTCCAAGCACAAAGGTCTTCCCTAGCCAGAGAAGCCCAGAAATCTAAGACACAGGCCTGAGGGACAGCTATCAGCCGAGTGGAAAGGAGTGTCCGTGGCAGCCCTCATAGCCCGAGCTCACCCTTCAGGGCCACACGGTTCCGCCGGATGGCCATGATGGCATTGCGGATGTCTTCCTCATCGGCAGTGGAGCTCACGTGCACCTCCTCAAAGTCCACTGGCACACATGCATGCCTGCAGCCAAAGTCAGGGTTGTTGGTCGGTGAGCAGGCTGCCCGTCCCAGCCCATGTCTGGAAGGCCCTCGTGCCGGCTGAGAGGAGACCGGACCTCCCCGGGGCAAGTGAAAGGAGGTGCCCAGTCCACACCATGTCCCCGGGCCCGGGCCCCAGGCTCAGGGTCTGCCCGCCCTCCTGCCCAGAGTTCTCAGGGCCCTCCCCAGCTGGGTCCACGAGGGGGACAGTGGGCTGCAGACCTGAATACAGACTTGACGTGCAGCATGAGCTCTGGCCCGATGCCATCCCCAGGGATCATTGTCACCGTGTGCCGTCCACCATACTTTGCCGACGGGGGCTGCAGGGAGGGGAAGGGTAAAGGCAGGCCCACGGGGACCCCTGAAGGCTCCCTGGCTTGGCTCCCAGGGGCTCAAGCCAGCTCCCTTCTTCCCACCAGCACAGGCCCCCATGGCCAGCCAATCACAAGGCCTCAGTCCAGGGTCCATTTCTTCCCTGGCCCGCCCCTTCCATCAGAGGGATGGCAGCAGAGCCAGTCCCACCCCTGCCTGAAGGCTCCTGAGCCCAGCGGAGAGACATAGAGAAGGATACTCACAATGGTTTGCTGCTGGAGGGGCAGGAAGAAAGAAGAAAGAAGACACAGATAAGCCAAGGTTAGCAAACTAGGCTGTGCTTGGGGATGGCTGGCTGGGGAATTGGGGTCTCTACCTTGGGGGTCCTGTCTAGCACAATTCAAGTAAAGGGCAAGGTGAACATGGCCCCAGACACCACACTTCAGACAGAAGGACCCAGGGGAGAAGGGACAGAAAAGCGTACGTGTGCGCATGCACGCACACACGCACCCTCGTTACTTACTGAGGAGATGCTCCTCCAGGGGACCTCGTGGGTGCCTAGAACCTGGCAAAGACAATCCAAATCCCAGTGTTGCTTGTCAGCCCAAGAGTCACACTTGCCCGAGAACATGGCCCAGACAGACGTTCCCCTCAACCCCATCCCTGCTCCAGTCTCCGGACAACAACCAGGATGTGCCCCAGGCGGCAGCCCTGAGCCTGGACCGTGCAAGGACCAGCATGTCTGTGCACCGGGGACAGCCCTGGCACCATTATGCCTCGCTACAATCTTCCAGCGGGAGTTTGGGAAGCGTTCTTGGCTCCTCTTTCTCTTTTTGCTTCTAATTCTTTTTCAGCTAATGGTATGGGCCCCACGGCCACTTTCCCAAGAAGCACAACTTGCAGCTGGGCCCCAACCTTTATAAGGCACCACTGCTGTGCTTCGGCTGGGGCCAGGCAGGGGTGACCATTAGGGCAAGACCCCAGGGGATCTCTGCTGACCCTACAGACACCTGGATCTGAGACCCTCTTCCCTCCTGGCCAGGCGGGAGCTGAGAAGCACTTGGAAGCGTGTTTCCTTACAAAACCAAACCAAAACCACTGCTGTGGAATCCATTCTGACTCACAGGGCCCCTAGAGGGCAGAGTAGAGTTGCCTCAGAGGGTCTCCAAGGCTGTCCATCTTCACGGAAGTAACTGCCTCATTTTTCTCCCACCGATTGGCTGGTGGGTTCAAACTGCCAACGTTTTGGTTAGCAGCTGAGAGCCTTCACCACTGTGCCACCAGCATTTCCATCCAGTGCCTGTCAATGTTTCCATCCAGTGCCTGTCAATGTCTCATGTCTCCTGATGGTCAGGGGTTTGCACAGGGCCTCCTCCAGGGAGCCCTGCCTCATGCTCTAAGGCTGCTGAGCTCTTGCTCCTTCCTCCAGACCCCAAGGCCCTCTTCCAGCACCCTTGGTTGTCACTGCCTTGCTCCCTCAGAACCCTGAAGCCCCTGAGAGCAGAGGCCATGTCCATCCGGTCCCCCACTGTTCCCCCAAGACCCAGAACACAGAGAATATTTCCTGAATGAACGGGCAAATCAGAAAACGAAGTCCAAAAGCATAAGTAGGGAGATTGGGTTCAAATCCAACACTCACACCACGAGCCAGCCAGCAGCACATAGCTCAGCTGAGACCCCTAGACGGAGGCTGGTGGTGACGTGACAGGGCCACTGGAAGGGCCGAGCGATGAAAGGCTCACAGTCCCCTGCCAGCTTTGGTCCTCTGCAGGCCCGGTGATGGGGGCCCATGCCAGCCTGATCTAATGAGCCCGTTCCTGTGGGTCCTGTGCCAGGCCTGACCCCACACCCCGGGTCAGGTCACCACCAGCGGCCTGCACCTCCTCCTCACCTGGTTTCCAGGCTAGGTGTGCCTTCCAGCTTGGACCTAGGGCCCAGAACGGGGTGGGTTTAGGCCTCCCTATGTGTGCTTTCTGGAGAAGCCCACGTCTTCCTGTAGGAGCTACATGGCTCGACCCTAACTCAGGCCATGTGGGAAGCTACCAAGCAAGGAGGGGACTGTCAACTCCTGCCCTCTGACTGTGCCACAGAAACAAAGAGGTCTGATGGGGCGTGGACTCCACCCAAGGGTCCCCACCCTTCACATGCTACTAAGGCCTCTCTTCAGGCGCTGTCGGGTCAAGGGCAACTGGTGGCTGAATGTCCCCTACAAGCTCCGACCGTGGGCAAAGATCTGACTGGGATTTACCTCTAAGGATTCCCAGCCCGGGGCCATCAGCCTTCAGGTGGGGCACTGCCTCGCTGCTGAGTGTTCACTGTCCCCCAATTTGCACCCAAGCACACCCACTGGGGGCTCAGGCAGAGTGCCAGAGCCACTGGGCCCTCGAGAAGTCCCCCTGTGAGTAAAGCGGAGGCAGCAGCACTTTAAGGAGCCATGAGTCCAGTTTAGGTGGTTATAGGGGCAGCAGGAGGAAACGTGGTGGGCACAGATGCCCATGGGGATGGGAGTAGTCAGAGTTCTGGAAGGTCCGAGCTGGCAGGATCCTTTGAGAACACGAAGTCCCCTCCCCTCACTGGTCAGAGGAGAAATGGGAACCCAGAGAGAAGAGGGGACTGGCCAAAGGCCACGCAGAGGGTCAATGGGGGAGCCTCATTGGAGGTCCTGGCCCCAAGGACAACGCTGGCCCGCGGCTGCTTCAGCACTGCGGGGTTTCCAACCCACTGAGGCCCAAGGATTCCCTCCGAAGCGCACCTGGAGAAAACCTAGACTCTGGTAGCGGGTAAGGCATTGGACTGCTAAACAAAAGGTCGGTGGTTCAAATCCATCAGCTGCTCCGAGGGAGGAAAATGAGGCAATCTACTTCCGTAAAGATTTAAAACCTGGGATACCCAATGGAACTCGCTACTGAGTCGAAATCGACTTGATGGCAGTGACTTTGGTTTTTCTGGGTAGGTGGCGAGCAAAGCCCCGCTGCGGCCTGCCCCCGCCGTGCCTCACACACCCCAGCTCCCTCCCATTCCGGGCGCCGGCAGGGGCATCTGGGGCTGGCAACAGAAAGGAGGCTGGCAAAGTCCTATTCGCCACCTCCACTGGGACAGGTGGCAGAGCGGTCCACGAGAGGCAGAACCGAGGGGGAACGGGGTCCGGGGTCGCGATGCCGGGCGGCAGGTGCAAGACAGGCCGGGATACGTGACTGCCCTTGGAGGGCTCCTGCAAGGGCACTGGGGAGCCGACGCCAGCCCGCCGCGGGCCCCCGCCCTAGAATGGAGACCCCCTGTAGAAAGGGCAGAAGCGCCAACTTGGGCCAAGTCCCTCACTGACGACGGAGGCGACCAATCCACTGCTGCGCGCGGCCTTCTCCCCGCCTCTCACAGGGCCCGCAGCCAATCAGGCTCCAGGCCGTACCGGGGGCGGCTCCCACCCTCGCCGGCCCCGCTGAGGTGCCAGGTCCCACTGAGACCATTACGGCTATCCCAGCGGGCTGCTCCCCCTTCTCACCTCCCAAGGACGGCAGAGAATGACCGGTCTAAAGACTGCCTTCGCAGCGCCACAGGCTGCAGTCGTCACCTTCAGCGCCATGACGGAAAGTGACAGTAGCCGCACGTACCCTGCGCGAAAACACTGCTCTCGCGAGAGTCCTGCAGGGGCGAGAAGTCCCTGGGCAGCCGCAGGCCCGGCAGTACGCACGCGCGGCCCGGTCGGTTCCCACGCCCCTTTCCGGCGCGGGGGGCGCCGCTGCCGCCGACGCCATGTTGGGGGCGGTCCGCTGGGCCCGGGCCGGGGGAGGAGGACACGTCAGTGCCGCCAGCGACGTCACGTGGGCTGACCCAGCCCGCCGGCGCTCGATTGGTTCCCGCGGTCGCTGACGCGTCGCGCTTCCTCGTCTGCCCTCGTGCTCCGGCCGCCCGCTCTCTCTTCCCCTCGGCAGAGAAGAGGCGATGGCGGCGGTGGCACCTCTCGGGGCCCTGGCACTCTTCCTACTGTCCGGCCTCTCCTGCTGCTCAGGTAGCGGCGTGGCCGGCGCCCGTGCGGGCGCGCCCTCCCCGGCAGGTTGTCCGTGGGGGGAGCAGGGGGCGGGCGCAGCGGCGCGGGCTTGCCTTGCCTCCGGCGTCATCCCCATGTTAACCCAGCAGCCATGTGTGTCACCTGCTCCTCTTGGGGAGAATGCAACACATGTCCCGCTCCTTCTACCCAGCTCTTGGCCCGGGGGATGAGCCAGGCCTCCCAGCGAGAGCGCCCTGGGGGACGTAAAGGGCGCCGAACCGAGGGCCATGGGCAAAGTCTAGGGAAGGAGCAGGAGCAGCGGTCTGACAGGGTGCAGGCAGGCAAGGACAGGCCGTGGGCAAGATGGGAGCCCAAGAGGTGATGGCCGTGCCTGGCCAGACCCCACGCACTTTCTCCTGAGGCGCTGGCGGGCCTGGCGTGGCTCAGCAGGCTGCCGTGGCCGGTTGAACCAAGGCTGTAGCAGTATTGGAGGGATGGAGTCCACGGAGCCCCCAAGTGCCATCTGCCCTACCCACTGGCCCTCCCAGGTTCACAGACTTCAGGGCCCCACAAGGCCCACAGGAAAGAGGCCATGGCTGGAACAGGGCACGAAGGCCCCCACCGTTCCCAAATGGCTTTTTCTTGCTGTTCACTGAGCTCAGCAGAAAGCTGCACTGCTAGGACTGCTTGTTTGCACACAGGTGGCTGGGAAGTTTTGCACTCGTGGAAGCGTTGCTTTGCACCCCATGACTCTGGTGACACCCTCTCTCCTGGGGCAGTGTGGCCTAAGGGGCAGTGGCACTTCTGCGCCCAGAGCTGCTTCCGCTTTCCCTCAGGAATGCTGGGGCACGGTCTCTCACCCGCCTGTAATGTCAGCTGCGGCTGAGGGCTCTGTCCTCTCCTGCATGTCCCCAGTGTGTTGTCAGTACCTCCTGTGCTGGGTGCCTGTGCTGACGCTTAGGGTTCCTGGAAACGTGAGGGAGGTGCTGGCTTTGGATGAGACGCTGACCTGGCCCCCGGGCTTGTGGTGTGTTCCGTGCCAGGGCAGGCTGCAGCCTCAAACCATTGCTTGGCCATCCTGTCTGTAGGTCCAAGCATGTCCCCCCAGACACATGCTTGCTCTTCCTTCACAGTTACATTGAGGCCCCACCTGGACAGAGGCCTCCCCAGCCCCCTTTACGGGTGTGTCCCCTTGCCACCACTTGGATTGTCTCCAGACCCCAGCTGGCAGGGTCAGAGGGCCCCTGTGTGTCCTCAGCTGCTGGGCTCCTGGAGACCAGGCCAGGACAGGCAAACCTGGCCTTGTCCAGGAACATGGTCTCTGTGCCACCCCTGCAGCAGAGGCCTGCATGGAGCCCCAGATCACTCCCTCCTACTACACCACCTCGGATGCGGTCATTGCCACCGAGACGGTCTTCATCGTGGAGATCTCCCTGACCTGCAAGAACAGGGTCCAGGTGAGGCAGGGGGGCTGTGGTGGCGGGCACTGTGCGCAAAGCCCAGGTCTGCCCCCACCTCACCCCGTGCCATTGGCTGGCAGCCCCTCACTGGCAGTTGGTGGAGGTGGACTCACACGGACAGGGGAAGATTAAGGCATCCAAGTCGGAGAGGGTGCAGGAGAAACGTGGGATTGGTTCTCCCTAAGCCACCTCGTATGATGGCACTGCTGGAGTGGTGCTAGGTTGATGCCAACTCCTGTTCTCTCGAGGGGGTATTGTGGGAAGGAGCAGGTTGGGCCGGTCCCCAAACTCCCTTTGTCCATTTTCTGGCTGCTGGTGGCCAAGATAGGGGTCTGTGGTGGGTATTATGGACGTTCAGGGTCTAGGAGCTCTGTCCTCAGCCTCTGACCTTAACCTGTGTTCCCAAAAGCCCAGAAAAGGAAGTTGGGCCTTTGGGGGTACAATCCCCCTTTGGTTTCCTGCCTCCAGGTTTGCCGTGGGTTAGGTTAAACCAGGCCATGGGGAAGGTCTGGGCCTTGCCCTCCCACGGACGAGACTCACCCAGAGAGACAGCAATAACGGTAGTGTTCACATGGTGTACCCCCTTGGGCACTGCTGTGAGCAGCCCTGTGTGCTTTGTTTCCCAGAGAAGCCATAGGTGACCTTCCTTCATCCTCTCACACAGAACATGGCTCTTTATGCCGACGTCAGTGGAAAACAATTTCCTGTCACCCGGGGCCAGGATGTTGGGCGCTACCAGGTAAGAGGAGGCCGCATGGCTTGAGGGCAGGGCTTGAAGCCCAGGAGTGGCCCAGCTGAGCGTGGTGGGGGCCCAGGACCTTGGGGACTGCTCCCAGTGTCCCTGTGTCAGAGCACACAGGACAGCCCCAAGCATATGTCCGCTCTGACTGCCCTGCCCAACCCCCACCAGGTGTCCTGGAGCCTAGACCACAAGAGCGCCCACGCGGGCACCTACGAGGTCAGGTTTTTCGACGAGGAATCCTACAGTCTCCTGAGGAAGGTGCATATACCTGAGATCTGGGCTCAGGGGCTGGCTTATGCAAGGGTGGGGTGCCCGGGTGGGAGCTGCTTTACTGACAGCCACCTCACCCTGCCTCACAGTTCCTTCAGTACTCCTGACCCCAGCTCCTCCCTTGCAGGCTCAGAGGAATAACGAGGACATTTCGATCATCTCGCCCCTGTTCATAGTCAGCGTGGACCACCGGGTGAGTGGGCTGAGGGCAGGGCAGTGGGGAGACAGCAACCTGCATCCTCCTGGGGGCGGCCTGTGTGGCTTGCCTGCCAAGCCCATGTCCGTGTTCCTCTCTTGCAGGGCGCCTGGAACGGGCCCTGGGTCTCCACCGAGGTGCTGGCCGCAGTGGTTGGCCTGGTGATCTACTACCTGGCCTTCAGTGCAAAGAGCCACATCCAGGCCTGAGGCCCAAAGGCAGAGTGCGGGGGCTCCAGTCTCCCCTGCTGCTGTCGACAAACGTCCACCCGTCAGCACAGGCGGTCAGCATGCGGGGCTCCTTGCTTGTGTCCTGGTGCCTTGCCACACACGGGGCGAGCTGGGAGCCGCAGCCTGAGCGGGGCTTATTTGCTTCCCCCCTTCACCGCGGGGGGCATTCCTGCCTGAGCCCTCGCGTCTCAGCGTTGCTTTGTGGTGTGGAGCGTGGGCCATGGTGGATATCTTCCCTCAGGCACAAGACCTTCTGAGCAAGGGGCCACTGCCGTGTTCTGCTTTGTTCTCTCGCCGTTCGGGGGTCCGGGGTTGTGGCTGGGGAGCAGGTGGGAGGTGTGCTATGCTGTCCCCGGCCCTGGGAGCAGCCTGCAGGGAGCAGTAAGATCATGCACACGAGCGCTGCAGCCTGGGCTTCAGAGTGGCCTCCTGTTGGGAGCCCTGGACATATAAGCCCCACGGTGTGACGTGCTGTCCTTGCTTATGTCTCAGTGCCTCTGGGTCAGAGGTGACAGCCCCCTGGAAACCGTAGCCAGATTTGGGCCCATGTCTACTCAGTCCCAAACCCTGGGCTGCAGCCAGTTCTGTGCTGCCTCCTGAGTATTTCAGTTTGCAGGGTTGGCTTTACCCCAGGAAGGTTCAGAAGACAGGGGAGAACAGCGCAGACCCTGTGCCCCCGGGACCCTGTCAGCCACTTCTAGTCGGGCCTTTGTCTCAGGTGTTAGGGCTGCCACAGTGCACATGTCACCAGCGAGCAGCTTTCAAGGGCTGGGATGATTGGCCCAGTTTTGGAGACAGGTTGCAGGGGAGGAGCCCTGGTCAGGAATCATGGCCTGCTAAGGCTGGTGTAGGGTTCCTTCCGTCTGTGTGTCTGTGTGCGTTTTCATCCTTTTTTATGACAGCCCTCAGAAGGGCTCGAGTTTCAGACCCACCCCACATTAATGTGACCAAAGAATGCCCCTTTCCCCATAAGGTCGCGTTGAGAGGGACAGGACTTGAACACGCATTTGGGATACCCTTAAACGGCTTTGTCCCGCTGCCTGAGCACCCGGCGCCTCTGGTGGACATGGCCACAAAAACCAACAGCTCCCCCTGCTCCATTTCTAGGCCTGGCACGTGCTGGGCACCACCATCAGCTGGTGGGGCTGTGAGAGGACTGGCATCCAAAGAGGTGGGTGCGTGTCCTGGCCAAGTCCCTCAAGCCGCGAACTGCCTGTTCTAGGGTGGCGTGGGGTCGCTCAGATAAGCTGGTAAATCTGCTGGTCCCCAGGAGCCTCTAGGCTGTTCCTGCAAGTGACGGGTGAGTGAACAGTCTACTTGAGAAGGATGGGCCAGCCAGGGGGCCTCCCCCTTTGCTTATCTTTACCCCGGTCTCAGGAGAAGGCCCCACTCTACCCCCTGTCCGTGGGCAGGATGACAACTCCAGGAAAAGGGCTGGGTGAGCCCTCTACTGGGAGGGTACAACAAGCTGGGCTGAGCATCCCAAGGGCCAGGTCAGCCCCTCAGGTGGTTGCTAAGGAGGTGGGTGGCGCTGCGCCCTAGTGCTTGTCGGTGCAGGATGTGGGTAAGAGGCTGGCAGGCAGCCGAGGCCAGCATGGAGCAGCAGGCACAGTGACGGCTGTCTGCCAGTCAGCTGCTCTTTTTGGTCCTGGCTCTGCCCCCCTGCCAGAGGGCAGTAGGACCCAGACTCGGTGACTGTTCCAAGGCCACCTGGCGCCACCCTCCCAGCCAGCTTGCTGAGCCGGCGCCAGTACAGGCCCGTTAACATGCTCTCCCCGGCCAAAGGACTCCTGATTCCTGACCCGCCGGGGGCCACGTTCTGTCAGTGCCAGAGAGTGGAGCACCTCCCGAGGGAGACCCCAGGAAGCTTGCCTCGGCCCCCAGGAGGCTTCTGCCAGTTCCTGCAGCAGGGCCTCATCCTCCGGACCTGAGGTGCAGAGGCTGCTCCCACCACCGACCAGTGGGGGGTGCTGTGGAGGGGCGTGGCAGGAAGCCCCAGCCCCCTTTTCCCTGTCATCTTTGTCTCCCCTGAAGGCCCATGGGTGCTCCCGGGCCTACATAAGGGACACAGCCCCTCCTGCAAGTGCACGGTGGGCCTTCTGCCTAGACCTTGTGACTTCCAATTTCCAGAGAAAACCTGGCAGCACGATTGCCCCGAATCGGCTTCCAGAGCCATTCTCCCCGGGACACAACCCCTTCTGGGTAACACTGCTTCATTCAGGGGCTGCCACCCACCGGGCAGCTGCAGCCCTGGGGGCCCTTGCCCCCACACACATATTCAGCAGGGCTCCTGGTTTGCTGAGCCACACGGGGTCGTGGGGTCATGCGCGTGCGGCTGCTCTTCCAAAAGTCTCGGAGACGGAATGTGTTCATCTGGTGCCACGTTAGGCACTGCAGGGTCCCTAAGTGGGAAAAGCGGCTTCTGGCCTTACAGCAACTTCAACCCCAGCTCCTGGAGTGAGGGCCCAGTGTGAGCAAGAAAGGCGAGGAGATGAAGGCCCTGGAGGCCAGTCCCGGTCCTCGGAGATGCCGGCCTTCCTGCCTCTAGGCACCCCGTGTCGTCTCCCACCTCTCAACCGACTCAGCCGCCTTGGGCCAGTCATTGTGGGTGGTTGGGGCCACACTTGCTTTTTCTAATGCCACAGACTGGTACCACAGCAGCCATCTGCCACCATGGCATTGCCTGTGGCCTCGGCCACCATGACAAGCGGTGTCCCTCCTGTGGTTTCCCCCACGTTGGTGTCATGTCGCCTCCCAGAGTTCCATGGAACTGCCCACAAGAGCCCCTGACTTCCAAGGACCTCACTGTCCAACCCCAGCCCTTTCCTGTCCCCACCCCAAAGACACAAGACACAGCCACATGCCCCCAGAGAAACCACAGGAGGCCACAATTCCACCAAGTCAGAAGGCAGCTTGCTTTATTCTCATGATGTAAATGGGGGGCAGAGCTGGGGCAGCCAGTGTCAGCCTCCAATCTTAGATCTCCAAGCCAGAGTACTCGGGGCTGCCTGAGAGGTGCTGGCCGCCCCCCACCCCCACCCCAGGCAGCCTGGCCCATGTTTGCTTCCTTTTGGTTGACCTGACCAGCCTGGCCACCTCTCACCCAGCCTGGGCTGTCCCTGGAACCAGGGCGTGCTCTCACCTCCATGATGAGGGGCATGTCGCCCTCCACCTTCGCCAGGCCCGGCCAGACAGCCTAAGGTCTTCCCACTGGCTCAGGGGCCTTGGCTCCTAGAGCCCCTCCCTGGCTGGCCCCTCCTCCTGCCACCGCCCCCAGATGGCCTCAGGGCCTGCAGTTAGCTCTCCTGGGCATGCGCGCCTCAGTGTCTGCGATCTTAGATCTCCGGCAGCTACCGGCAGAGGGCTCCCCTGTCCCCACACAATGCAGGCCACCAGGGAAACTGCTTCCCATCCTCCAACCTTCCCCACCCTTCCCCCCACCCCACCCTCCCCTTCCTTCTTCCCTCCCCTCCCGACTCCTTCCCAGCCTCACTCGGGGGTTACACTTGGTCAGGCGGCCCAAAGGAGCGGCCAGCCCCCAGAGCAGGTCCACAAAACAAAAACAACTATCGGCAAGCACAGAAAGGGCAGAAAAGCACGAAAGTCTACGAATCACCAAGGCTCCTAGGGGTGGGTGGCTTGCGCCAGCTGGAGACATTTGTTTACGTTTGTGCTTGACGGTCCTCCTCGCCTTCCTTTCTAGCTGCGCTTCCCTGGCATCAAGTGCCCACGTCGTGAGAGCGCTGCGTGTGCGCAGGTGTGCACTCGTGTGCACGTGGCCGTGGGTCTCCCACACGGACAGCTGAAGGGGGTCATGGCCGGTCAGCCCCGATGCTGGCGACGAGGCGTTGGCTTGACTTGACAGGCGGAAGGAGGCGGTGGAAAGTCTCCTGCTCCTGTGGGGCTACTTTGTTAACAAAGCCCTTCACGCGCGTGCGCGCGCACACACACGCGCGCGCGCGCGCGCGCGCGCGCGCGCGCGCACAGGCCGGCGCACAAGCGCAGCCTGCACACAGACACGCTAGATGCCGGGGGAGGGGGAGGGGTGGGCCCCAGCAGCGCCGCGGGGCTCCCGGCCGCTCACACGGTGGTGACGGACAGCAGCGGGTTGTAGACCCTCTTGCCGTCGGCGGAGCAGGTGCCGTGCGCCAGCATCTCCTGGATGGTGATCCAGTTGTCCAGGATTTTCTTGTTCCGCTTCTTCATGGTCTTGCGGTGGCTCAGGGCGATGATGTTGAGCTCGGCCTTGCTGTCGCCGCTCTGCTGCTCGCGCAGCCACTCCAGGCGGCTCTGCATCATGAACTCGCGCCGCTTCCGCTGCTCGCGGGCGCGGATCAGGTGCTGCTTGCGCTCCTCCTTGCTCCAGTACCGGCCCATCTTCATCTCACTCACCGCGTCGTCGTCGGTCGTCATGCCGCTGCGCTCCTCCCGGATCTTCAGTGCCCTGGCCTTCAAAAGCCGGTCACGCACGGGCCGCTTGGCCACGTACCGGGTCCCGTCACTGCGCACCTTCACCTTCCACTCCATGCGAGGGGCTTCAGCACCTGGGGCTGCGGCGGTCACCCGCGGGCCACCCGCCAAGCTCAGGGGCCCATGGGCCAACTCTTCCAGGCCCCGTGCAGAGGCCAGCGGCCCGCGGCTGTGGAAGTGCTCGCCCTCCGGACCCTGGACACGGTGGCGCCGGGAGAGGTAGGGGCTGCCCTCCGGGCCCACCCGCTCCAGCGTCACCGCACTCTTGGGGCTGCGGCGGACACGCTCCTCTGAGTGCTGTCTGCGGCCTGTCTCAGCATGCCGGGACAGGGAGCGGAACTTGGCGGGGCTCCCCTGTGCAGGGGCTGCCTTGGGTGTGGTAGTGCCGGGCATGCCGGCCGTGGTCCAGTTCAGGTTGGAGTTGCTGGCAGTGGTGGTGGCTCGCCGCAGGGGGCTCTCGGGGAGTGGCTCCGTGAGCAAGGGGGTGCTGCGACAGCTCTCCCCCGTGTTGTAGGCGCTGGTGCTATCCTTATCCGACTTCTCCGGCAGCTCAGAGATGTCAGACAGCTCGTGCTTCTGGGGCTCACCGGCCCCGAGCGCGTAGAGGCCCTCCTCCTCCAGCAGCCAGGCCTTCATGCACCGCTCGCGCAGCTGCTGCATCTTCTGGGCCCGCAGGATGTTCCGGCACTTGAACTCCAGGTGCCGCAGCTCCTCCTCCAGCATGGCCATCTCGTGGCCCAGACTCTCGTTGCGGTTGACGTCCAGAGCACTGGTGCTGCCCGAGGCGCGCGGGAAGAGCAGGCCCAGCTGGTTGCCATTCTCCAGGTGGCCCCTGATCTCCAGCAGCTCCCGGTAGCGCTCACACTCCTCGTCGGTAAGGCCCGGGACGTCGCCGGCGCCCAGCCCGGCCCCCTCAGCCAACAGGGAGTCCATGCTGAAGTGGAAGTCCCGGCTCTGCAGGGAGTCCCCCTGGAGGCCAAACTTGCGCAGGCTGCCAGGGGTGTTGGTGGTGCTGGGGGGCTCGTCGCCTAGGAGGTCATGCTCGGAGCTCTCCTCGTTGCGTGTGCTCTCATCAGTCCGGCCCACCCCGCTGTCCAGTTCTTGGCTGTTGCTCAGGTCTGGGCCCCCACTGGGGTCCCCCTTCTCCTCTTCATTTCCCAGCTGGGGCAGAAAGACAGCCACGTTTGCCACCTCCTGAGCCAGCTGTCCGTGGACTGGGGTGTCACCAAAGGCTCAGGAGAGGTTCAGATCCTGGGTCGGTCATGCCCAGTCGAGGCCTCCCCACCCACCTGTTCCTCCTTCTCTCCCTCCCACCCTGCCTCAGACTCACCGGCTGGGCAGGGGGGGACTTCAGCTTCTGAGCCCGAAGGTCCCCCTCATTCTCAGAGCCAAAGTCATCCAAGAAATCGTCTCGGTCACTGTCCTTCCAGCGCTTTGTCAGCTGCAGAGATAGCAGGTGCTGTCCCCACCACTGCCAGGGTCTCCTCGGATGCCCCCTAGCCATGCAGGCAACCCCAGAGTGGGAGAGCTCGGCCCATGTGGCCACCAGAGGCGGGAAGGGAAGCAGGCTCCCCCAACACCCGCTGGCCCACCGGCCGCACACCCACACTCTGTCGGCAAGGGGCCATGCACCTCACTCTCAGGCCGGGCCAGCAGCAGGGAGATGTTGGTGCTCTCCTCCTGGCTCAGGATGGCCACCGCCTCCTCCCGGTTCTGGACGTCCACACCGTTAATCTGCAGCAGGCCCAGGGATAGTCAGCAAGGACACCAGGGCCACCTCTGGGGCAGGCCCTGGTCACAGCACACCACACTCCCCAGCACTCCAGTCTTGGCCAGGGTCTTGAGCTATGGGTTGGGTATAGATAGGTGGACGGTGCCAGAGAAGAAAGGGCCCAGACCAGGCGAGAGCCCGTGTGTGCTGAGGGTGCTGGGAGATAGGGCCGAGAGGCCCAGGAGATGGAGAGGAGCTGCAGTGGGGCTAGGGTGGCACGGGACCTCCTGCCCTGGGCACCTGGGAGCACGAGCAGGATGGGGATGAGACGGGCCCCAGCTCCCTCACCTGGACGATGCGGTCACCCTCCCGGATCCTGCCGTCTTTGGCTGCAATGCTGTTGGGATTGACCTGCGGGGCACATGCGCCATGGGATGCTGCCAGCCCCTGCTCCGGGGTGACCTAGCCTGGGGTCCCACAGCCCTCCGAGCTCCAAGGAGCAGGGGTGGAAGGCGGTGGGCTCCTGGCAAGTTGCCTCTCCTCAACTTGGGAGACAAGGGTGCAGACCACTCAGCTTGCTGACCAGAAGCTTGCAGCCCCCCTACCGCCTCCATGCACACAGCTGGCATGCCTCTGGAAGCCAGGGGCTGGGGGACTTCGGGAGGCTGGAGAACGTAGCTTTGGGGGCTGTGTGGGGCAGTGGGAGGTTTAACTTGATTAGGGTGCTGTGAGAGTGGGAAGGGGCCACCGGACAGCTGCCCAAGGCAGCTGGGGGAGAGGAGAGGCCAGGACTTGCTCGGCTGGTGTCTGAAGTGGTTCCTGGTCTGACCTCCCAGGCCACCGTCCACCCCAGCTGCTCACCAGGTCCTTTCTCTGGCAGCGGATCCCCAGGCCGGCAGTGTGTGGAGGCTTCGGGAGAAAGGTGGGTGGAGACGTGTCCCCACCATGCCCGTGTCACTGGCCCACGAGTGGAAGCCCTCCTGCCCCTACCTCTCCAACGTAGATGCCCAGGTCATCCTCATCATCCGTGCGGTAGCAGACCATGAGGCCCAGCTTGTCCCGGTGGCTGGTCTTGTATAGCTCCACCTCCTGCGGTGGATGGGAGGAAGCACAGGTGGAGAGCCTGCGAGCAGGGGAGGCGGTCGCCCCAGCAGTCCCTCCCCTCCCCCTCCCCCTCCCCCCCACATCTTCTGAGTCTCCAGCCCCCAGCTTTGAGGGTTCATCTTACCGTCCCAAAGGGTGCACGTGTGTTCAAAGGTCTCCCCTACCAGGCAATGCCCAAGACACACACACAGAAGACAGAGACATGCGTGGCCCACGGACTCACCAACACAGACCGAGCACAGGGCCTGCCCACAAACAGCCCACGACGCGCCTGCCAACTGCAAGCACTCAGAAAGGCTGGCGGGCCCCAGTGCCGAGCCGCAACGGCAGGCGCCGGCCCCATGGTGTGCAGGGCTGCACGGGCCGTCCTAGAGGCTGACTCCGGCCCGGCCGCCCCGCTCACCTCGTACTCCAACTCGTCCATACGGTCGGCCTCCTGCTGGCTGCCCTCCATGAACTCCACTGGGTCATAGTACTCGTGGCTGATGGGGGGGCTGCCCAGGAGAAGCTGGGGTCAGGCTGACCGGGGACCCTCACTCACCCGAGCCTCAGCTCCCAGGCACTGGGTTCCCTGCCGGGTGCACCCTCGGGGTGCGGATGCCCAGCTGCTGCCTCATGGGCCCCTCCTTCTGAGCCACTGCCACCCATGCAGAGACCAGGAATGCATCTTCACTAGGCACGGTCAGCGTCCACACTGAGACACTAGGCGTGCAGGTTCTCCACCCGTCCCCAGCCCAGACCCCTGCAGTCGCGCCTGCCCCCACCCTCCCCCATGCACAGCCCCCAGGAGTTTGCCAGGCCCAGAGGACTTCCGTAACAGCCGAGTGTTGACTCGCTAGACCACCGAGGCTATGTCTGGCCTGAGGCCAGGAGGGGCTGCTGGCCGCCCGCCACCCCGCGGCCTACCTCCCTGCTGAGGGCCCTGGCCCGCCGCCCAGCAGCCGGTCCCGAAGGTGGGGTGAGTCAGTGCTCACAGTCAGGAGCCCCCCGCCCGGGCGAAAGGCCCTCTTCTGAGTGCGCCAAAGAAAGAGGCCAAAGAGAGGGAGGAAGTTCAGAGCAGGAGGAGGGATGGGACAGACAAGGATGGCAGAATAGTCAAAGGGTGACGCTGGTGGCACAGAAGACGATGGGGCGGCAGAGGAGAGGATGGAGGAGGAGATGCTGGTGACCTCAGCCTGGCGTCCCCGGCGGCCAGGTCCCAGGATGCTCTACCCTTGGCCCTGGGCATCAGCCCCCCCTCAGCCCTGTCACTGGCTGGTGGCCGCCTGAGGCTGGGGACCAGAGCTTTTGGAGCCTGGCCTGTCCCCGAGGGAGGGCGTCAGGCCACTGAGGGGCGGCCATGACAAGGCTCGTGTGGCTTCAACAGCCCGGGTGGCGTGGGGCCAGCTGCCCTGGGGTCACGCCCTCTTGAGGCAGGGCCCGGGGCCCTCCTGAGGGTGACTCACAGCTCGGAGAGGACATACGGCTCCAGGATGACCATGGGCGGAGTGGGCGGGCGCAGCCTGCCGAGCGCCGTGATATGCTCGAAGGTGATGTCAGTCTGAGTGCCACTGTCCACCAGCTGCAGGTCGTGGCAGGAGCTGTCCCCCCGGAGGCGGGGGCTACGTCTCAGTACCTGGATCACCAGGGGCTCCTTGGAGGAGCGCAGCGCCTCCAGGGTTTGCTCCTGAGATAGCTTGGAGAGCTCCTTCCCGTTCACCTGTGGCAGAGACACGGCCGGCCGTGAGAAGCTGCGGCCGGCTTCACTTCCTGCAGAGGCCAAGGCGGGGGCCTCCTGGGCCCCAAGCCCCTCCACACAGGAACGTTGCTCGGCAGCCCGCAACCAGGGCTGCCCTCGGCGCCCTCGGCTCCTGGCAGTGCCCACACCTTGGCCTGTCCCCACCTCCACCCCACTGTGGGGACTCGGTGGCTGTGCCCTGTGGCGGTGACAGAGCTGGGATCTGCAAACCCTCCAGGCGATCCCGCCGGGGGGTGGGCATGAGGAGGAGCATGAGAAGCTGTGGGACCCGGTCTCTGCCTCTGCGACCAACTCGCCAAAGAGGAAAGCCATGGGCATGCCAAGGGCCTCCTGGAATTGCCAGGCAGCCTAAGAGAAGGGCCGAGGAGTGGCCCTCAGGAAAACTGCTGCCTGCATGGATGACAGGGAGCTCTGGTGGTGCAGTGCCTGAGGCATTTGACTGCTCGCCAGAAGGTTGGCAGTTCAAACCCACCAGCCACTCCCCGGAAGGAAGGTTCGGCAATCTATTTCTGTAGAGATACCACCTCGGAAGCCCAAGGAGGGGTTGCTGAGTCAGATCCGACTCAACACCAGTGAGTTTGGGGTTCTTTTGCACATATGACAAGCCCCAGGGAGACAGGCAGGGTCACAAGCTAGTAAGTGGAGACGCATGTAAGAGTGTCGGTCTGTGGTGGCCGAAAAATGGAAGCGAGGGTGCGTGGCCGGGACTGGAAGGAAGGGCCCTAGAGACGCTGCTTAGGACAACGCAGACCACGCAGAATCTTTAGTCATGTTTATTATCAATTTTAACCACAGAATAACCTGATAAATACAGCTATAAATTGCTTAAATGTTAGTATTTCTGAATAATAGGAGCTGTGCTGGCACAGTGGTTAAGTGCTCAGCAGTTAACCAAAAGGTCAGTGGATTGAACCCATCAGCGGCTCCACAGTAAAAAGATGAGACAGGGAGCTTCAGTAAAGGTCTACAGGCTTGGAAACCCTGTGGTACAGTTCCACTCTGCCCTCTAGGGGCGCTGTGAGTCGGAATCAACTCCATGCCAGTGGGTGTGGATTGGGCTTTGCTTCTGTGAAGACTGACAGCGTTGGAGACCCCGTGGGGCAGTTCCACTCTGTCCTCTAGGGGCGCTGTGGGTCAGGATAGACTCCACGGCAGTGGGTGTGGTTTGGGCTTTGCTTCCGTGAAGATTGACAGCCTGGGAGACCCTGTGGGCAGTTCCACTCTGTCCTCT